GTATTTACCCATAATAATGCGTGTGAGTCTTTTGTGCCGATGCAATAAAACTTAGGTGAGTTTGGGAGGTCACACTTTAGTTCAGTTGCTATTTCTGGTCAGACTTTGTATAGATTTTTTTTTTTTAGTAATCCATGTTTTCTTACAGAAGATTCACTAATAAGTATTAATTCCCTACTTGTTTTAACAGTGTATCTAACTAGGGGGCAATAAGTGATTAAGTTTTACTTTTACCTTGAAATCCATGTCTGGTTTAATCAATTACTTATTACATTTAATCTGAGGGAGAGAACAAAAGTGTAGACCCTTAAAAGTGAATCTGGATATTCAATTTCAAAATAATATTTCAAAAGAAAAGGGTTTGAAATAGTGCTGGAGAACCTATGGCCCTTTAGACATTGTTGGACTCTAGCTCCTCAACCCCAGCCAGAAAGACCAATTTTCAGGGATAAGAAGAATTGCAGTCAAAAAACATCTGGAGGTCCACTGGTAAGAGGCAGAATTTACACTGGATCAGGAAAAATCATTTGGAAAAAATGTCTGTAGTTGCAAAGATATTCAAATTACTGAAGTTTTTAAAAAACTCTCTGATACAAATAAAATAAAATAAAATAATCTGACACAAAGGCCCAGTTGGCTCAAACAGGAACATTTTACCTTGTAGATGAGTCCATCATTTCCATACATTTCAACTGTGGCTTTGAATAAAACTGTTCAGGCACAGACATCACAGTGCTTCTTCGAAGGGGTTAAACCTACTATTCAAAGCTGAGCCAATTTTACTTGGTGTTTTTCTGCACTGCAGTGAAAGTTAATTCATTCTAAAGCAGAGAGCTTTCCAGCAGCATTGTTAATATTATAATGTCCTTTTGCAATGCTGGCCTAGCTAGCTTATTAGATGAAGGAAAAACTAGAGATGTGCTGACAAGCAGGGTTCACCATTCTGTAGAAGGGGAAAATATTTTTTAATCAAAGTTGCTCTGTTTGATAATCTATACAAAATCACAAATGTCTTTCAAAGTTCCAAATGCAGCCCTGTTAGCAAATCAGTTAAAACACATGCACTGTTTGGGATCAGGTTTGTTGTTGTTTTTAATGTAAAAAACATAGCTTTGCTGGTTGAATCCAATATGCTATACAGGATTAATTAAGCTCTTTTAATTAATTAATTAATTCATTAATTATTGTGAATATATTCAAGTCACTGGAGTTTTTTTTAAAAAAAATCACTTGAGTTTTAAAAAAATAATTAAATTTATTAAGATTTTAATTAATTAATTAATTAATTAAAAGAAAAGAAGATTTGCTAATTGAATGTACTTTTAGAAAACCTGCAGAAGGTCTAGTTAAGCAAGACAGTGATCCAGAGGCAAGACTGCACTTCAGTCAATAGAAAATAAGCTAAATGGTTTCAAAATGTTTACTGGAAGAAATATAGGAAAACCCACATCCCTCCCTCCCCAATAGAAACAAAATCAGAAAAGGTTGACATTACAACCTCAGTGAAATCTGCAGGTTGAAGAGAAGGCTGACAGCATATTTGAGGTGGAATTCATTCCTTGAACATTCACATTCCTGTCTTGGCTCTGGCAGCCAGATAAAAGGAGAACCAGTTTATTAACAATACACACAGTTTCTAGGAATGTGAATGCTGGGAAATCTGAGTAGTAGGCTAGCAGGCAATAAATGCCTCATAGGCCAGTCTATTTAACAAACAACACCATCTCAATTGTGCATAACCTGGCATTAACTTAAGACTAATTCACAAAGTCCACCATCTGATGACTTTCAACTGTGCCAATTGTCTATCAAAAACACTTGCATCTCTGTTGACAACAGAGGTGATCTGACTTTCTTGGCAGTTTGTGATAGCTGATTTACACATGGAAATCATCTCAGTGGTGCTGTAGTCAACATATGAGGGTGAACAGACATTGACTCCAATAGTTTGGTGTATAAGAGCCAGCGTGGCATAGTGGTTTGAGTGCTGTACTGCAATTATGGAGACCAGAGTTTGATTCTTTGCTCAGCCTTTAGGTGACTTTGGGCAAGTCACACACTCTCAGCCTCAGGACAAGACAATGGCAAACCTTTTATGACCAAATCCTGCCAAAATAATCCCATGATAGATTCCCTTTAGGATTGTCATAAATTAGAAGTGACTTGAAGGTATACAACAACAAATTGGTTTAGATCCTTGGTGGGGTGCACAGTCAGCCCAAAGTCTTGTGCAAAAGATATACAGTTCATTCATTATTTAAGAATACTGATCACAGGAATTTGTTTTGCATAGCAGGGATAAATAGAGCTGATAGCTGTTGCGTCTGCACAAAGGACACTAATGCACTTAGTATGGGTGAAACATTGGCCACAACTTTTATTTGTACAGGGTCTGACATATTTAAATTTCAATATAAACAGCTATTTATCCAACCACAATTTCAGTATTTCTTAACAGTCATCTATTTGACGCATGCCCGCGTGTTTTATGCACAAGCACTGTTGAATATTTGCCTTTTTAGAGGGCATGCGTCAAATCCTCTAACTTAGGTAATCTCATAACCGAATATAAACCCCTCCCCAACCGGATATGATGCCAAAAGCATTTTATGACGTAACCATTTTATGACATCATTAAGTTTAATATGACATCATCAAAAATTTGTTTAATCTCATGACATATACCAAATTTCTTTATTATTCTTTGCCAATTAATAAATCCAATTAACCTACAGCATTCCCTAAAGGGGGGAGGGTCCCTGCCCGCCACAGGAGGGGGTCAGCCTATTTTGGCATCCCCTCTCCCCCCCCTTATTGACGCCTTTAAACAAGATTCCAATGTAGCAAGGTATATGTCATTCCCCTGAGGGGAGAGATGTACACCGTCACCCCTGTACAAATGTGGTAATGCAAACTGTATTCCCTGGTGATCCACAATAACCACCCCCATTTTCTTTAACGTCTTTGCCACGGATCTATTTAACCAACGCCGAGCTCCATCAATGGCAACATCACTTCTGGCCCCATGCCAAACTCACCGAGGAAGAAACTTTGTCCACATGAGGAGTGTATGTGGCATCAGTCGCCGTATCTCCTTCATATCCTTAATTATGCGTCTAGCCAACTGTAACGAAGTCATTTTTGGAAAGTAATTTCCCCCCAAATGTACCAACAAAATTTTTGGCTGTGTGAGCGAAGCCATCAGTTCGATTATTCTAGGCAGTATGGCTCCCCACAACATGCCTCTGCGACCAAACCATCTCACAGTTCCAGCCAGTCCCAGTCCCATGGCCAAATCTTGTCGCTGCTGAATGATGTACCTACCTCTCAGCCCAAAATACCAAACTGTGTCCAAGGATCCATACGTCTCCCGCAGCCAATTCTGCCAAATTAAATCAGGACAAGAAGATTTATAACCACCTGGAACTTAGGTGCGAACATATGATTTAAACACTCTAGAGCACCAGCGACCAATCCTACAAATTGCATTGTCACTCAAACCCTGAGTTGCTGCCGCCGTTGCTGCCCCAATCCTGAATGAATGAGAAGAAAATTGAGCCGCTGGCAAACCAGCATGACTCAAAACCCCCTGCAATACTGCTCTAAATTGATATTGAGTTAATGGTAAACCCGATATATGTAAAAATAAGTATCCAGTTGTGTGTGGCCATATTTGAATATAATTATTCAAAGCCTGCACTGGGCAAATATGGCCAGGAGGAGCCCTAGCCAATGTTATGGACTGCCCCTTCCCCAACTGATCTGTTTTCGAGCGTCGAATTGTCAATTGAATGCCCTGTCCTGAAACTTGAATATCTGATAGCAAAAGAGCCCTGCCAGAGCTATCAGTACGCGAACAAGGAACAAGTTCACTTATTCTCAAGGCTGCAAAAAATGCTAAGGAAAATGCTGCCTTAAACAAAATCACCTCTTCAGGTGTAGAGCATGTAACTGGAAGGCATTGCCATATTTTCAACAATATTAGCCCCGTTATTGGCAAGCGACTGTCCTGAGTGATGGAAAACTCCCTAGCCCATCCTTCCAGAGCCTTACGTACTCTAAAATCAATTGTAGGGTCTTTAAAGCCTCCTGCTCTAGAATAAAATGAAAGAGCTGCTAATCTTCCCCTAATAGTGACTGTAGATAAACCCATTTGTCTAAGATGCACTGCAAAATGAAGAATAATCTCCACATCCAGTGGCCAAACCTCAACCTCCCCAATGGTCAATAGAAAGGATCTAAATGCTTGCAACGCGAGCTGATACGACTTGCGTGTCGACGAGGCGACGGTCAGAAAAATTGCCTTTTTGATTTCTACTCTCCAAGGCTCCAAAGTTGATGTGGTACCTCCAAAGGATGAGCTGCTGCCTCCGGAGCCAACTGGCGGAATCTGTAAAACTGAAAACGCGAAAGGGCATCCGCCAAAGGATTTAATAAACCACAAACATGTTGAGCTTGGAAGAAAATATTATACTTTAGACATTGAGCCACCATTTCCCTCACCAATGACATTACCCTGTCAGACTTAGAAGACAAGGAATTCACTATATAGACTACAGCCTGGTTATCGCACCAAAAGCGCACCGTTTTATTCGCAAATTGGTCCGGCCATAAATGAACCACCACCACAATAGGAAATAATTCCAAAAAGGTGAGGTCCCTAGTCCAACCTTTCTCAACCCAGGTTATTGGCCATCCCTCAGCTGCCCACTGGCCATTAAAATAAACTCCAAAACCACAGGCCCCTGAAGCATCAGAGTGTACCTGAAAATCAGCCCTAAGGAGCATTTCAGATCTCCAGAATGAAACACCATTGAAATGTTCCAAAAATGACTCCCATATCGTCAAATCCTTTCTTATCCCAGAATTTATCCTAATATGATGGTGTGGGGCCTTCACTCCCTTGGTGGCTTTATATAAACGTGAACAAAATGCCCTTCCAGGGGCTATCACCTTACAAGCAAAGTTTAATGAAGCTGATAAAGATTGAAATTCTCGGAATGTGTCTTTAGATTTGCTTTTCATCATCCTCACCTGCAGCCTCATAGCTGTGAGCTTGTCAGATGGGAGACGAGAAATACCTTTTTCGGTATCTAATTCAATTCCCAAGAAAGTAAGACGTGTATCAGGGCCCTCGGTTTTTTCCTCAGCCAAAGGTACCCCCATTTCTGTCATTAAGCGCTGAAAAGCCAACAGCATATCTGCACAACCATCTGTCCCAGCAGCGCCAGCAAAAAGAAAATCATCTAAATAACGAGTAATCACTTGGCTACCCGACCTTTTAGAGGCACACCAATGTAAAAAAGTGCTGAATGTTTCAAATGCTGAGCAAGAAATAGAACACCCCATTGGCATAGCTTTATCAAAATAATATTTCCCCTCGAATTGGAAACCCAGAAGATCGAAATCATCCGGATGAACTGGAAGTAGTCTAAAGGCAGATTTAATATCGCACTTCGCTAATAAGGCTCCTTTGCCCAGAGCCTTAACCAGTTTAACTGCCGAATCAAATGAAGCATATTTGACTGACGTCAACTGAGGATCAATGGCATCATTTACTGAATCACCTCTGGGATAAGATAGATTGTGTATTAACCTGTATTCCCCCGGGGCCTTCTTAGGTACCACACCAAGGGGCGATAATCTCAAATTTGCCATGGGCAAATACTCATGAGGGCCCGAAATCCTACCTGCTGCTATTTCCTTGGCTAGCTTATCCCTTACAATCCCTGGCAATTCCCTAACTGAACATGCATTGGGTGTGTAATGATGCGCCCTTAAACCAACGTAAGGAATGCGAAAACCATGTGAAAAACCCTCTAATAAATACTGAGCGGCCTCCCTTTTAGGGTATATCTGCAACCAAGTGGCCAAGACATCTAAGTTAATTGGTGATGGTGCCCTTTCCTGAATTAGATAATTGTTATTGAGAGGGGCCCCCACCTCCTGCCTTTTTAACCTTAAAGCATGCCAATCCTGTGGATCGGTCAGTCCCAGAAATGCCTAATGCACCCACCCCAGCTATTTCCCTCGTTTGACTTACCGTGGTATTAACATTTGCATAGCACTGTGACCTCAATTCTATACCCTGGGTTGGGGCCAAACTATCTAGAGGTGCTGCTACAGGTTCAAGGCTAGGGCGATCGCTTGATGAGGTCAATCCTGTCAGCCCGCCTGTAGTCCAAACCACCGAAGGCCACATTGCCTGCAAATTATTAGTATCTGACAAACCTGAGCTCGTTGGATGAGGAGAAGCATACAAAGATGCTTGTTGAACTCCTACCGTGGGTGTCACTGAAGCAGCTCTGGTATTGTGCTGTCTGCCATGAGCACCTGGTACATTGTCGCTGTAAGCCGCAGATGTCTCAGGTGTCAACACATTGCTCTGGCCTGTAACAATCACACTTTGAAGAAAGTGAAACAAATCAAACAAAGTAGGTTGACTGGCAGTATGCGCCGTGGCACCGTGGTGCCCCACACCGGGAACTTTCTTCAAAAGTTCCATTACATCAGCTACGGTTGGTTGCCCAACCTCCATAGCTGAAGTACTCTGGGAACTACATGCAGTGCCTGGTAATGGAATTGCATTGTCAATAACCTGCTGTGCAGTGGCTTGTCCAGCATTAACATTTATATGTGCAACCGAAGAACTAATTGCTTGCGCCCCTTTTTGCAAGTGATGTTAAGCCAACTGCTCACACACTGCCGCACAAGCCTGCATAGTGCGACCTATCTGTGCCAGATGTGTGGTGATGTCATCTTCTTTACTTGTAATGTTAGCAGTTCACTTAGGGGCTGGCTGGCCAGCTTTTTGACCAGTTGAGGTCGCACGCCGCTTAGATTGAGTCTTACTTCGCGGCATGATGTTAAAATAAAGTGAAATACAACTAAAAGGCTAGTTGATGCAGGATATAGAGTAGTTAACTATACCTGTGTCACCAAGTTACAGTGTGAACTGCATGTACTCCCATTTAACAACTGCCAACCGAATTAGGTTAGCCAACATGTAAGAGGAGGCCCTCATCGAAACTCA